GAATCGATTCAATCACGATTCGCGATAACTCTTTTAAGCCGCGTGCTGCTCTATTTTACTCGCGCTAACGATGTCGATGAATTTTACGTGACCGATATATCGGCGCCGGGCTTACCAGCGAGAGTGCGCGCGAGTTCGTTGAATAAATGCCGTTTGAGCAAGTGGAACCTGCGCCCGATGAGAGCCCGAGATCGCCGAGAAAGGCGTCGATTGCGCAAATTAGCGCATTGTTGCGAACAACATCGCACCGTAGGAAAATAATCGTTGCACGTATAAAATATCAGCGCTCTCAAATTAAATATATATAATATTTTATCTAGAAGGTATAAAATTTCTAGCAAATAAAAAATAAATAGAATTACGATCAACACTTTTTACGAGTAAAAATCATATTTTTAACTGAAAAGATTGACTTTTGTTTGTCACAGCTGTAATTCTATCTCGTCTAATTAAATATTTCGACTTTCATGCTATTTCTTAGTGCTTTTTCGTAATTTACATTGTAAATACGACACGCATAATAACGAGTTATGTTTGCAGATGTGATTATTAAATCCACGTAAAAAGTGGCGCAAGGAAGACGCAAATCTCCTTAATTGCATCCCTCGCGATCGTTATCGAATAAGCGATTACGCGGACTTAAAACCGTCAACCGCTCAAGCTGTATTATTGCCATGAAAGTAAGCAGAAACAAATTCCAACAGTCGCGATCGCGCAAAAATGAGACTAATTATGATCGGCGGGCGATACAGTGCACACGAAAAACGCACACCTGATCTTGATTCTCCTTTTTCCATCCGTAGATGGAAACTGGCGAACAAGGACGACGCGCACCTTTTTTACGAGCACAACGACGCGTAAAACGGCGACCGTCATTAACGACATTCCCGACTGTTTATCGCCGCTCGACCTGCCCCGGAATTCAAACGAACCATCTTGATATCATCGAGCAAAATTTAGACACGATGCTTATATGTGTTTATTTACAGAAAGCTTTGTGTTTAATCTAGAATACGCAAGAATTTGCGCGAATGGCGTCAGAGATCTACGAAATTCAGACCTGAGGAGAATCCGCGTGCGATCGGTATAAATAATAAAATCCGTACGCGGTTTCTGGTTAACACATATCTTGAATTTTGTATTTCTCAATCACCAGAGCTTATGAATTTCTCCAAGCAAACAAGAATACCTGATTTTTCTAATTTACGAAAGAAGAAAATCGTGTTCGTAAAATTAAAAGAAACGTAAATAAAGTTTGTGGTATCAAAAATTTATCAGCGAAATACAAAGATCTAAAAATAAAGACCCTATAGACAGAAGAATACCAGAGATCTATGTAATTAGAGATGCTTATCGAAATAACCAGCTAGCAAAGTCGACAGACAAGAATCTACGGTTCCAAGGTCCGTGAGAATACATAAAAATTTATAGCACAAGGTCGACATATAGGAATTTGTGGTACCCAAGAAATTAAAAGTAGTCTTAAGAATTCACGAGATTACAGATATCAAGCATCCGTCGGAGAAGTCTGTAAATAAAAATTCGCAGTTCCAAGATCAGAACACTTCAAAGTACGAGATATAGTCGGAAAGTAACGCAACACATTTTTATCGCGGTTCCTTCGTGGTTTTTACGCGTTAATTTTAAATCTCCACGTGTACGTAAAATTCTGCGAAACCGAAGGTCAACAAAGACCGAACCTATGCTACCGAAGATTCTTAAGATCCAGAAGAAAGTAATAAAGATATAAAACTACGGCGTCAAGTGGTCGTAGAAACAAGGGTTTACGATACTAAAAAAATCTGTGACACATCCAAGACCCTGACGATATTGTGACATCGAGAACCTATAGTTTCAGTATCCACGGCATTAAAATGTACCATTTTTATCAGCATTCGACTCGGATGTTGTCCTGATAAAGTTCCACCGTGTCCGACGCGGCTGCGTGGAATATCGGTATCGAGAGATGTGTATCCGAGAACGATGTCTGACATTTCAGAAGCGTTCTGCCTTTCCCGGCGCTCTCGCGTTTGCGGTGGGGCGCGCCTAAATCGGGTCGACGCGATACACACAACACAACTCTTCCTCGCGTTTCCTGTCTAATGCAACGGGCGCGCGCGCGCACGTACCGCGTAATACCGTGTAATATCGGTTTGAACGCGCCTGCCTGCCTGCCTTGCCCGTCTGTAAAAAGAGAGAAGAGCCGCGGGAGCGAGAGAGAGAAAAAGAAAGAGAGAGGAAGGCGGCCGTGTATTCTGACGTGCTGCGCGTTGCGTAATTCATTGTTCGGATGCAACACAACGAACACCCGCGCCATCCGCACCGAAGCCCTAAAAGAGTCGGCTGGCGGCTACCGCTTTCACGTTTCATCATCGTACGGACTTTGCTCGCCTCGAACGCTCGCGGGAGAAATAAAAAGCGAGCTATATCAATCACCCATTTCCCACGGGATATTCTCTCACGGAAAATTCACCGTTTAATCTCGAACACTTTGTTACTTTTTCGCGTCCAATAGAATTCAAATCAAGCGAAAGGAACAAGAGAAATGCGCGAAGAATGTAACATAGATAACGCTTGCAATATTGACATCTTTTTCTTCCTTCTAACACAATCGACTTCTAAACACGTGATTTGCAAAATAAAAAAAAATGCGCAAATACGTCTTGCATTATTGATAGCAATATCTTACGTGTGACATCATTGTGTTCCAATGTAAACATAAATCTGGCGATGTTGCATTTTCACACGAGTATTTCTTTCTCCCGCGGCTCTTATAATAGCGTTCTGGAATTTGCAATTAAAGCCGGCGCGTCAAAGAGGGAGAGAGAGGGAGCAGCGCGATCAACAAATGCCTGCGCATTAGTGACAATCCCGCAAATCGCTGATTTCGCAACAATCCATTATTATCGGCCGGAGGAGCGATCATGTAACCTTGCACGGCCGTGCCCATCGTGCCGCGCGCGATTACAGCGCAGCCGCAATTATCAGGCGCCTTTATATGTATCTCGTTTCGCCGCGTTTATAATATTTATCCTCGCAATCAACGGCGTCGCCGCGAAATTATGCCCGTGTTTATAAATATTCATTCTTAGTTTACAATTTTTATTCTCATAGTCAACAGTCGAGGAGCGAAATTACGCGCACTTGCAATACTTATTTTCATAATTGCTATTTTCGGATTCGTAAGCGACATCGTTACGATATTTGTTTTTAGCATCGGTGCAAAAATATTTCCCATTTTTATAATGTTTGGAGACAATAATCGATGTCATCCGCGAGATTGTACGGCGCGCGGATGTCTCGAACGCGTTCGGCGAATGCAAATATTTTCGTCAAGTGAATCGCGTCCGCCGCCTGCGACGAATTAAACTATCGCGTTAGCGCGATTTTAATGGCCTCGTTACTACAAGCCAGTGCAATCTCGCTGTCAATCACGCGTGTGAACGCTAAAACATTGCCGACACGGACGACGAGGCATATTTCTACAACGTGTGTTTTGTAAACACAAGCCGGCTCGGTTGACCCGAATTCGAGAATTATTCAATCCAATTTCAAAGTATTGTATTGACGAACTTTCTTGCACGTGTGAAGGATAATCGATCGACTTATGAGAAAAAACTTTGGTGAATTATCATCAAAAAAGAATCGTAAGTGTGAAAAACTAATCGTAGTGAAACTAATAAATCTTGAAAAGTTAAATAAAATCTATCGAAGTTCGACTCAAAGTTAAATCTAACTCGGAAAGATTTTCCGCATCGCGGTAAAAAGAAACACGAATGAGAAATGGATGATTCAAAAATTCCGGGAATAAGCGAGATAGAGATGAAAACAAACACAAGCGTTGTGTACATTCCTCCGCAAACTTCACTCTACTGCGAGCGAAAAATACAAAAATGTCGGGATTCGAGGAAAAATGTTGGCAAAAAAAATATCGCCGCTGCATAAATCATAATTACGTATTGTTACTCGCGTGATTGTTTAATACACTTCCGGTAGTATCTTTATGCACGAACACTTTCGGAGTCCCGTTATTCTCTAACAACAATACATAGTAGCACAAACGGAATGCGAATCAATGGCGGGAGTATGAAAAACTTCTCCTACGATTGTATCTTACCCACAGCTCATGATCCTCAATAGATGTTATCCCAGGAAATTAAATAGATGTTGAATTTAATAACGCACGCTATGCAAGCTATTTTTTTCCACTCTCTCATCATCAGCATTTACATCGAACGAATGCAGTTAAATTCAATTTTCACAGACTGTTCGACCCTGAATTATTTCCTTAAAAAAATTTACTTAACGAATCAAGAATTAAACATTGAAGAAAGACTTAGTGAATGTCTTTCGCACAGGATATGCCACTTCTGCCGAATTAACCACTAATGATACCTTATGTAGATTGGAGACAAAAGTCTTAATGTCACAACGGCGAAGTATCAATGGCTATTGTCACAAAGACATGAAGAGAACCTTACGAACTAACCTTAAATGAATAGCGAATTATTAATTCTTCATTTACGATTGAGTTTGAACAAATTGTGAATTTGATTCCGAAGAAATTGAATATCGAGAAGAATCGTGATGATGTTCTGTCTCGATTTTTATCTCGATGAAACTTGGAAGCGTCAAGGATTACGTCGTTAATCGCGCGTGTCGCGACAATAGAAATGGGCCACCCCATGCATCGATACATTTCTACATGAGGCCAATCATGGGAATCGGGTCTTAATCGCGCTCGCTCCGATTGTAATCGAAAATGATGTCGAATTTGTACGCCGAATGCACGATCGTGTCCGGGATTGAATAAACCGGGCGTCCTGTACGATTTGAGGCATCGGCCGTCACGAGTCGTTGCACTTTTCCATGGCCAACAGGTGGTGGTGGCTCCGCTCCGAGAGCGAGGAAACGCGGCCAAAAGGGACTCCGAAAGTACGACGCATTCATATACATACACACACACACATAGGCACATACACACACACACACAGCTTTACCTTGAAAATTTGAAGAATCTCGATGCAGCGGATGCTTGTCGGCGCTGCCCAATATCGAAGCTTTGCGGTCTCTTTTATCTCTTTCTATTGCAGCTACTCCAAAGAACTTTCTTGAAAGAACTCAGCACAAAACGTTTCACACGATATACAGTATGTACACCAGAGAAGACGAGAGACACGCGCGAACTTGTCGCGCTACAACGCGCGACTGTTGCAGACGTTTCGCGTGCGCGAAATGAAACGAATGAACGCGCTTTCCGCGACGGCGCGACACCGAGAGACGCGACTCGACGCGAAGAACGCACGGTAACACGACGCGGCAGGATGAACCGGGAACAAGACGACACCCCACTACGTGCACTCGACGGTCACTGAGCGAATAACAGCGAACGAGATCGGCTTTGGCCGACGACCCTATTAAACTCGACCGGTAAAAACAATCGTGCATTTGGTTCCATTTGCCTAATGTACTACCACTTTTCCGCTGTCGATAATCGTTATCGATCGATAAGCATGTTTGTTTATCAATATAATGTTCTATAAATAAGTATTATGTAAGATATATGGGAATCGAGTCTCAATCGCGCTCGCTCCGATCGAAATCGAAAATGATGTCGAATTCGTACGCCGAATGAACGATCGTGTCCAGGATTGAATAAACCGGGCGTCCTGTGCGATTTTATATAAGATAGATAGATAAAAATACTTGTATAAGATTGATAAACATTGTTCTAATTCTGACACTTATCAAAATCATCTGCCCACATTATTGCAAATAAATCAAATTACCAAAATTAATATTAATTAAATTTCCTAAATTTGTATGTAACTATAAAAAGTAACTTGTCAGAAATTGTGTTAATAATGTTTGTATAATATGAATCTCTCTTTTTCTCTCTGATTACTAAAATTACTAAAATTACTCATTACTCCAAATTATTATATTATCTTCTTCTTTGCTTTCTAAATATTAATTAGAATCAAGTATAGAATTCAAGTAATTTCTTTTTCTAGATGTAATTTCTAGAAAGAAAATAATTACTGTCTGAAAGTTAACGTAATATATAGATTTTAGATTAAAAAAAAAAATATTTATGTTTTGAAGGACAACAGATTTCTTTCAACATATTCAAAATAAAATGCCAAAATATTTTTTGCATTTGACGTATACCTTTTTAATGATATGAGATGTGTAATAATACACGTATAATGTACACGTATAACTTGCGTGATGCATTATTCGATGTACAAAGGTTAAAACAATTATTTAAATTTATTGTACAATTGGTGGGGTATAATTTGTACCACGAGATGACAAATATTTGGTCGATATGAGATATTAGAGGATATGTTTTAGAAATGATTTTCTTAATAACAAAAAATATAATGATTATATCAACATAAAATATAACTAAGGTAACGCTTGAGCGGTTTCGAGAATATCTCTTATTTCTTGCAATATTTTTCGTAATATCCATCAATTTCCTAACTTAACAAACACACATGTAAGAACACATATGTAACATAAAGAAAATAAGGAAATTGTAGCAACTATCGTTTGCACATCGATATTGCGATTAAATTTTGAAGATTTTCATATTCTGAGTTTGTTTTTGCTACAATTTCAATCTGAAATATATAACATAGCTATCACAATTTTTAAATTAGAAAGAATATTTCTCTAAGACCACATGAGAGCGACCTAATATATAATTACCATTTCACCTAATTCAATAAAACAACAAATTTTGTTGAAATTACAATATACATAAATTGCAAAATAGAATTGCATATGCACACGTATATGTATATATACATATACGCATATGTTTACATATACTATTACATTTATGGCATGCACGTTTATAGGTAAAAATAGTTAAACATTAGCTATCAAGCACATTTTCATATCCCGATTATTCCGAAGGCAATTACATCCCTGATATCGGCTAACAGTTGCAATAATTATATTGCAAAGTTTCCAAATAATCATTAAAATTCTACTACAAATGTTTCGTGAGGAAATAATTAAAATGTAAAATGGTAAAAATTCAAGATCATTTTCTGGTCAATTTCTATAAAATTGTAATCAAGGCGTGCAATATATTAGACTAGATCCCAACAAAAAGAATCCATGCAACGTGTGTTAAAATCTGGTATTGTTTTGCAGTGCAACCCTGTTAATGCAGTAACCAACTATTTCTGTGATATATAAATGTATATATATCATAAATCCTCCAGTTCTGCCGTGGTGAAACAAATTGCGCGCGTCGCGACGCGATAAAAAAATATTATATATTCATTTTCTTAACATGCTAAAAAATAGGATATCTTAAAACGAGCAATACTATAGACTTATTCGTTGCACGTAGTTGACGATGAAAATGCCTCGCGCGCTATTTTAACTATATAAAACTAATATATGTAAAACCATAATTGTACCCAAATAAGAATCTTTACAATTTGGATAATACTTCACTTATTTAAATGAAAAATTTTCTCGTCCGAAGGAATTTCTCAATGCAAGCAATCTTCTTGCTCGTCGCTCTGCCGTTCACTTTATATACCTATTACATTTTTGGTCCAGTTTATATCGCTATACAACGCTTCTATATCCGATTGCCTCTTCTAACTGCATAGCCAATTTCTGAAGCGGACTGCCGCTATATATAGGATAAAAGGACATACTTTGCAAAAGCAGTAGACGCTGTCTTTCGGTAAGTACTGCGTTGATGTTGCAGTCTTTCATTCGAGAGGAATACTTTTCCTCGCGCAGTACCAAACCCTAACGCGTTATGCCAATGCTTACAACAGGAAAGACTTACTTCTCTTTCATCTATACAACGCATAGCAGAAAATTCCTTACTCAAACTTCTTAATTCATTTAACAACTTTATGATCTATCTATGGTACCTTCTATATAATACAAACTTCCTCTCTACGCTAATTCGTCCGAGCATAGTTTTCTCTCTTCCTCCACCCGCTGCCGAGTGCGATTAAAAGCTTCGGTCTTAAGGAAGTCCACGGTTTTGTACGGTGTCGAATTCGGCGGCGACTGCGCCGGTGGTAACGTTGAAGAGCCGAAGTTTTCCGTCTCAAAGTCAAGATCCAGGTATTGCAATACCACTAAGCGGCGATTGGACGCCGGAATGAATGTGTTGTGGTCTTGATAATAATATATCTGGAAATCAAATTACGCATAGCATGAAATCATCGATCGCGCCACGTCAGACACAACTGCTAAGATTATATATAACTCTTGGAATTACTCTGCGTACCTCCTCTTTATCATCGAACGCGTTATTGTCTTCGTCCGACGTCGACTGATGACGTGTCGAATGTACATGCGACGGGGGCGTCGGACTTGGTGCTGCTCGTATTTTTCCTCTGCCAGGAGGGGACGCCAATTGCAAATGAGGTCCTGCGACAAAAAAAAATTACAGCTCAAACGTGCATGACTTTGTCAAAAGTATCGACCTAAGAATGTGTGCCAAAAAAAAATTACCTTCTACCGGTGATTTATTCAACGGTGGCTTTAGCTTTCTGTTGATACTCGGCGGTTCGGCCGGAGAATGCTCGGCTGAACTCACTTCGTGCACCGCTATTGTCGGACTCGGAGACGGCTCGTTGCTGATGACGGACATTGAATCGCTGGTCTTTCTTCCCGGCTTCAGCTCTCTGTACACCATCGGAGGAGGAGGCGCCATAGTGGTCGGCACGGCGCTCGAGCTATCCCGCACGAGAGGGCTTGGTAGATTCGAATATGTCGCTGTAGTCGAACTCTCGGAGCGCGGACTCGGCGGCTCGTCTTCGTGAAAATCGTAGCGGAATACATTTTGCGTGGTTTCATCGCTGACGGTGCTCGGCGCAGCGTTCGAGTACAAGTGCTTCGACGATTGATCAATCGCCGCGTTGCTCTCAGCCGCCGTTTGCGGTTGATGAGATCTAGGAAAGTCGTACGACTCGTCGGTCACGGCGCCTGCTGCAGCTGTTGTAGCGACGGGCGTTGTCGGAGCCGGCGTCGCTGGAGTGGTAGGTTTCGAGCTCTCGGTGGCACCGTCCAGGTTCAAATAATTGTGACCGGGGTTCTCGGGCAGCATGTGAGGCGGTTTCGGTGGTCTAGGCGGGACTGGTAACTTTTCTATTGCCGGCGGTATCGCAGAATCGACGATTCTCAGTTTGCCGAAGCGTTTTTTCACACTCCACGAACCAATTTCGGCGTCCGCGCCGTGAGATGGCCGTGAATCGCCTATTACGTGTTATCTCGTTAACAAAAGCACAAAGCAGATTGAACTGTGCATTGTCAAAGACTTACCCGTCGAAGGAAGCGTATCCCAATTTGCGCTGGGCACAGGCGTCGTCCATTCGTCGTCAGTGAAAACGCTTTCAGCATCTGTCGTCGTGGGCGACCGGGGTGGCGAGGGTGCTAATCTTCTCGGAGCGTCGTAGTGCTCAGGACCCTGTCCAAGGATGGAATTCAAGGAGCTAGTGTCATTGAGTCGACGACCGGAAATGCATTCGCTAATAGGAATGTACGGACCGGAGATCGTGCTGGTGGGCGAGGTTGGCGGAGACTCCTGAGACTCGTATTGAAATACTAAAGGAAAAAAAGAATTATTTATAGATGATAACATTATGAGCGAAAAGCTAATGATGTAGGATGCGAGTTTCTCATTACTTTGTTGTTCTTCATCTTGAGTGTACGCTTTCAGACCGCAAACTTGACACACCGCGTCCACCCACTTGTTCATATCCGCTTCATTCTCAGCTACTAAATAATAAATTCGTTTAGGAGTCTTAACATTGAACATATACTGGTACTTCTGTTTGCGGTTTTCGAATCGGAGACCCGCGTCCACCTGTAACAGATTGTTGGTTAGGTGCTACAGCTAATGAGAGTGGAACGTATGAAGATAAAAAACGACGAGCACCTGTTCGCATTGATCCAGGTCGATACGACCTTTGAGTTTACGGCAGCGTCTGTCTGTGTAATACTCCAGAAAGTATTGACCAGGCAATTCGCCGCTGTGACGAAGAGCAAACCATCGCTTTCTCCATCGCTGTTTGAAACAAAACAAAAAAATTTTGATAAAACTATCATTTACTTTCACGTCACTGCATTATCTACAGTACTCCAATCAACTACGGAACTTTGATAAACATCTATACGTCTGACAAATGTATTACATTGCTGCTTGCAAGAGCTAGTTTTTCTTGGAAAAAAATACGGATCTTAAAAATAACCAAATGTATGGAAAAAAAGTCTCGCGCAACTTTTTCCAAGATTAGGTTAGGTTAGGTTAAGAGATTTTTCGCATAAGAGCAGACTGAATGGTTCTTGCCAAATTACACCGTACTCAAATTTTCCACGAGAGAGGGTTAGAATTGAATACTCCAAAATCTGGAGTCTGAATTTCTCTGAAAGATAAATAATCGTGCGATTTGACAATCGCACTCCAAAACCAGGACGTAAACAATGGCTAGCCTCATGAGATCTGCGTAGGTAGTGATGCGCTCGCTTTCATATTGTATACCGACCGCTCTAAATAGCTTTGAGGGCGGCGATTTGATGAGCCATCCTTCGTGAACGATTTCTTGGGACGTGGACGACGTCTTGAGCACCTCCATTTCTCTCTCTCTCTCTCTTTCTTTCTCTCTCTCTCTCCCTCCTTCTCTCGAAGATGATGGCAGCGCGAAGTGATTGCTTGTCCAGTAGTCTACGCTCTTAGCAATGCGAAAACATCGTCGAGGAACACGCACCAGGAACTATCACCGACGACAGGCACGATGAGTTCGTCGCTCATTTGTCTATTTTCAGCTCCGATGGCATGACACAGAGAACTGTAGAGCGAATGACGGTTTCTCACGTACACACACCGTCAATCCTATCTCTCCTTCTCTCTCGCTTCTGTGCACTAGCTATGACGATACCAACACATCAACAGCGCAAGAGAGAACAACACGGACCAGCCCGCAACGGGACACTGCAGGTCTCTCGCACTCGCGCGGCACACAAAGACGCACGACGGGCATCGTCTCTCCTCGTCGCCTTCGTTTGCCACCACCACTGTCGCAGCCACGCGTGCCAAGGCTCGCGCGAGTGACACACGGTGTCTCGGGCCCTTCCTCGATGACAGCGCAGTAACGTACAAGCGCTCGTGGCCGCCCGAATGTTTAATTAAATGCGCCGTATATTTCTCTGCAATCAACATACTTTTTAAACACCGATGTTACGTGGAATTGCGAATTGAAATACGATAAATATAATGTTATTACTGTTATTCGGACAAACATTCGTTAGTAAATTGAAATTTAATTTTAAAAATGAGGTTAGTGCCATTACAATGCAAAATACCTTGCTATTCATATCGAGAAAAACGGTGTTTCCAGAAACTCGGAGCTGCGAATACACCTCGGAATGCGAAATAGCGCAGCGAAATCGCAATATGTTTCATGTATTAATCAGACATGGTTGCATCTGCGTCCGTCGATTCCTTTCCTCCGCGATCATCGAGCAAGTTCCGTACTGCCATTGCAACCATTGCGATTGCTCGAACGACACGCACGATCACGCGTGGCCGCATTCACAGCGAGCCATTCGAGAATGAATCATGCGCACGCATTCGCTTTCTCGCAGATGCCTTTACAATATTCGCGAAATTTCGAATGCTAACATAATTTCAATTTATCACATTTTTTAGAAGAAATGTATACGACGCGTTAATCATATGCTTAATCGCGCAATGAGGCAAACTAACACAAATATTAATCCTTTATTAATCTCTTTTATCATGATATTCATTGATTTAGCCTCTGAATTATCTAAATTTATATAAAATTGTATGCTTTCCTGCGCCATACGTTATATAAATTCTCGATTTCGCGGAATTTATCTCAAAATAAAGGAAAATGGAGATTAATAGAAAAGGGCGTTGCATTTTTCTCGCAATGGCACCTATTTCTGACATTTTATAAGTTCCACGATTTTGTTTTTTTTGTAAATGCCTTTAGATATACGTAAAATGCCAGCAGGTTTTATTAATCCTTTTCTCAGTGCCATTGAATGTCGAAGAATAACGGCGGCCACTCGCGCGGACAGCGATGTTCACGGAAGGGCGAAACCGCGTGCATAATACGTGAAATAGCACTTAATTTGCAATTCAATGGGCCACTACACCGTAGACCAAACCGATCGATATTCAAATTAAGTTCTCGTCTATCGCGAATAATCCCTCAAATCTAGCGCGCTAACTGTACATCATTGCCGTGAGCGTGAAAACAACGTGACGAAAATCAACGTTCCTCTTGCACAAATAATAGATCTAGTCGATAATGATCGTTTGATTTACGATTATAAAGGCTATTATTCATTATAAATCTGAGAATTACTTGTAGAAAGTGAAGTGAACCTAAAAAAGTGAAGAATGTTTATCATAATCATTATTCTCACAATTTATTCTAAAATATTATTCAGTTCTAACAGATTTCAATTATTTTTGTATATATATTACACATTTGTAAAACAAGAATTCTATTTCAAGAAAAGACCCAGCAAAATATTAGGCCTCTGTAAAAATCCACCTGCAATAGAAATTAACACAAAAATCTCTAACAGAAAAAATTGTATTTTAAATTTTGCGCCATGGAATTTAGCTCCTAAATCTGAATATTTGAATTCGTAGTTTGTTCCAATTTGCTTTACTTTTTATCTAAATATATTTCTCTAACATTACATCAACCTTGCGAAAGTTTAAACATGCTTTTGCACTAAGACTCGTATGTGTGCGTATATGTAATTCCACGTGTAAGACACTCACTCCTCTCAGATTCCAAATTTCTTTTATTTTATACATCTTATATACATAAAACATAATACATAAAAAATACATAAGAAAGAAAGGAAACGTAAGAACTAAGTAATAAACATATACATACATGCAAAGCAAATTAATTGTAAGAGATTATAAGTATCTTAGCCATTAATTAACGCGCGTTATGTAATTCGCAAAATCGATTTCTTTCTCTCGCGAGAGAAAGACGAACGGCATGACAACGAACGTCGACGAAAGCCAGGATAATCCGCTGATTTATTAAATATTTGTTCTCTCTTTCTCTCTCTCTGTCTCTCTTTCTCTTTGCGGTCCTCCTTTATCGACCTCGCGATTCCCGGAGCACCGCGAGAAAACCACTTCATCTTCGCAGAGAAATGTAGAAATTATTATTGCATAAGCTATGTATGTCCAGTTGATTAATACAAATCGCTCTGATTTATTAATTCGCTCGCCGTTTTCGCGAACATGCGGATGGAACATGCGGATTCTAGGAATAACGCACGAGAGAGCGCAGTACAAAATCGGCGCCGCAACAATCCACTCCGCGTGCGTGTGTGTGTATATAATTTTCCTCTGTTTTTTTTTTCTCCTTTTTCTTTTATACTAAACGCCTCCTTCTAAAAAGAGCCTCTTTCCCTCTCGCTACCGCCGCGGTAATCGTCCGTACTAAATTCTAATCTATCGTACATATTTATACATTGAGCGCATATCGTCAGAGGCGCCGTCGTGACGCCCTCCGCGATATAGGTATGTGTGTAACAATGTGTCGTTACACGTCGTTTTACATGCATGAACGCGGGACTCTGAACTTCCTCTCACTTCTTCGGAGTCACCCGTTATCGTGCGGCGCAAGGACTCGTCGTTATATAGATGTAAAAATAAACGATGAAACGAGGGAAAAACCCGTGCGATCGCGTTTCGGTCTTTGATCGTTTTTCAACGAGAAAGCGAATCCTCTCTCCCTTTCTTTTTCTCTCTCTCTCTCTCTCTCTCTCTCTCGATCTTATTACATTTCTTGTACAACGACGGAGGTACGAAAAATGTTAGGCTTCTAAGTCCTCACGCATCGAAAGACGATCGTTTATGGACAACGACAGCGGCCAAGTGCGTCTTTCACACTCACGTACGCAGGATAGCGATAAGACGGTCGGAGGATATCAGTGTCCTTGGCGATTGTTAATTAAAAATCCATTCTTTATTCAGTATTTATTATTATATATCTCTATGTGAAGGGGATTAATTGTTATTGGAGATCCACATTTTACAAAGTATGCTTCTTCCTTTTTTCTCGTTCTGTATATATATATATATCTCTCACACACAAATACACATATACACACGCACATACACATATACACACACACACTCTCTCTCTTTCTTTCTCTCTTGTAAAAATGTTCATCGCGATCTCGTGAAAAAGGTGTATTTGAAAACGCACAGGTACAACACACGCAGTGTTTTTCTCAAGTAAGTGATGCGTAAACTTTATTTCGCCAAAATCGTGCAATGATGTAATGCATTTATGTATAAATATATACACACATATGTATAACTCTTGTGTCTCACGGTACTTCTTCCTTCATTCGCGTTACCTTAAGTTACTCGTTGCGATTAGAGTAAGATGCGTGTTAAAATCCTTATGAACTAGGTGAAAAGAGACGGGAAGAAAAAAAAAGGATGCGAGGATGCCGACCACGTACAGTGGAAAAAACGAGCAGAACGAACCGGTGACTGCTCGTCGCGGACTTTAGTCCCATTTAGTCTCGTTTCAGGCTTGTGTCGCGATGAAAAAGAGCTTTCAGAAACGGCAAAAAATGTGTCGGAAAAATTCCCGCGTGAACTCTCGCTAAATTCGAGCGTAATTGAAAAGAAAAAAGCACGACTGGGACTAAAGTACACACGACGAATATGAAGTTATCGAATCAACGGAAGCCGAGTGGAATTTTGTTTTTTTTTAGTCTCTCTTTATCTTTCGCCGAATTGGATATCGTAAAGTCAATTAGGATGGTAAGATAAACTTATGACAAAATTTCTCGATAACATAATCGATTACCGTAAATAATTTCGTGATATCTGTGAAACGAACAGTTATCTTCTTATGATTCACAACAAGTTCCTTTGCACGAGAAAATATTGCCACAGATGTGAATTGAATTGATTAATTCGAGAAAAGTAAGAAATTCCATCGAGGCTACGTGTAATAAATTATAATCGGGGATTGCAGCGATAGATTAGATCGCACTTGTTACCGTTACAAAATATGTACAAAACTCTTTTTATTTTTCTTTTTACGCATAGGATCACACGTGGGCGTGAGCAGAAGAGATCGCCGTTTTCCAAATTGGGAGCTTACATCGTCTTACAGCTGCGTTGATGCAAACGGCGCTGTAAAAAGGGGCCTCCATCCACCTCTTTGCGCATCAAACAATCTACAAGCCGGCGGAAAAAAATAAAAATGGAATATATTTTCGAAACTCTTTCTTTTAATAATCATATAACAATACTCGTTATTATATATTCACGATCAACATACATTACTCTTATCTAGGCTGCAAATGTTACATAAAAAAGATATCCGTGTTGTGTTTTCTAAAATTATAAAAACGACGGTAGCAAAAAGTCTCGGAACGTGACGGCGTCGCACGCCGTCGAGGGGGGATGGGGGTGACGTCGCGTGCGACGTTACGTTTTCTCTTTTAACGCTAAAAATGATGGGTAAAAAAAAAGAGGGGGGAACGACGGCGAGAGATGTATAAAGTGTAACTAAAGTTTGTCCTAAGTCACTCTGCGGTTCTTCTCGGTTCGTCGGGAGGTAAAGACGTTTCTCACAATCGTCACGCGAATCGTTTCAAAAATTATTATACACATTATATATAACATATAATAGTTATTTATATTATTCATGTAATATATATAACTATATCAATCATTATATATAGTCATGCGAAGGGGGGGAGGGTAAGAGGGAGGACCGAACAATTCGTCGAGCAAAATGAAGGAACGCACGCATCATCGCGTCATTGTGCAACTCTTATCACGGGCAACGAGTGCGCTATCGGAGAGGACGAGAGTGCAACACGACACGAGGAAGAAAGAGGGAGAGAGCGACCGGCTCCCTCTTTTTCACTCGGGTAATACGCTCATTGAAATGGTCGGGAGGGGCGGGGGAGGGGAGAAACGTTACATTATGCGTCTCATTAATCTTTAATTAGATAATTAATTCACTATTTACGAAAAGTCATAATAAAAAGTAGTACTCTATATATTCGGTATCTCAATTAATAATATTGTAATAATAATTATCATATTCCAATAGCTTTGTCTGCAGTTATCGTCTAAATCGAATAATTCATTAATTCATTCATAATATTACCATCGCGCGCGTGTACGTATACAGACCGCGGCCTATATATCCTCTTTCGAAATACGTTCGATAAATATAAAAAAGAAAAAAAATCGCATAATATTTATATATATATTTATATAGATAGCGTTGCATATATATCATTCACCTCTTTCTTTCTCTCGCTCGCTCGCTCGCTCGCTCTCTCGCTTACAATAGTAAATCTTGCTACGAATGCCTCGCGTACCAACGTGCCCTTTTCGCGCGCGCGACACCGCGCTCTCTCTCTCCTCGTAATATATTCAAGCAACCATTCGAGAGAAGGAGAGAGAATCTTGTACAATGCCGCCGGTTGCAAGCACCATTTGATGGTATTGTCGATCGACCGTGTAACGCAAGGGTCGACATTCGTAGCCTCACTCTTCCTGCTCGCCCTTGCCCGCATCCAGCACGGAGCGATCAACGGTGCCGGCTCTGAACGTCGTCCCCAGGGAAAAGAATCAATTGCCTTTTCTATTATTTTTTTTTTCTTATCGCGAAATAATCGGTATATATACAGAATTTCCTTCTCTTACTTTTCGTCAAAACAATCAATCGGGCGTACAGCAGCGTTGGCACGCGAAGCGTTCAAACTCGACTCGCAACTCTCGCGTAAGAGTTCCGCTACCACAAAGGTACACCACTTTCAGATTTACAACACTGCCCTAAAAACACAGCCATACTAAGCCAAATACTTTTGGGTTTTGTTGTTTACGGTTACGATCTCTCTTTTGCTAAAATCGTATATTTAAATCTATACACTCGATCACCGTGATTTTCGCACCTCGTCGCCTCTTCGTCACTTTCCCTAGCAATTCTCGCTCGTTCCTCGCTCTATTGTTCGATTTAAAAAAAAGGGAGGAGGGGGGAGGGAAATATAAAAAAAAAAAACAAGGGAAAAAAACTGACATACACGGGATGCGCCAACAATCCCGTTCGATCTTCCGCAGGTTTTAGCAGCCCGTAACAACGAAAAACAAATCCGATCCGCGAAGCGAAGGAAAGGGGCAGAAAGCTCGGCTCCCTTTTATTCACAAGCAAGCAAAGAAGCGGAGTGTCATCCGACGCGCGTTCTTCCTCTGCGAAACGTAATCTAAGCGTAGGAATGTGTCTCGAGTCTTCACCGCTTCGTATCGAGACTTCTCGTGACCGTACTCGGAAAACGCGGGTGACGGTTCAGGATCGCTTCGCAAATTCGTGCGCTATTCGACGGCGCGCGTTCGCCGAACGTGTGGCGAACAAATGGGCGCGGATGAGAGCCCATCAACATCGATCACGCAAAGTCTTGGAAACCCGATTGCACTCGTGACAAATCCGCCCAAAGAAATTTAATACACCCGATTAAGGTCGACCGCTGGCCTTAGCCGAGTCAAATTTGATCGTTACGTTCTTTTTTTTTTTGTTTCTATTAATCCGCGAGAGTGACTTTTAACAAGGAACACGGTCAAAACGCATGCTGCTGAGAGTTTAAATGAGAATTCGTAGCGCATCGATGTACTTGGAATAAGTGTAAACGCGTGTATGTATGCAAAGATGTGTGTGACATGCGGAGATACATGTGTGTGTATTTTTTTGCGTTACCACGCGCGTGTAATTAAATTTACAATATTGATAAATTTCCTTTTACAATTAAGCTCCCCGAGCTTCGTCTTGAAAATCGAAATCGTAATCGCGATCGCTTAGTTTTTTTTTTTTTTTCATCAGTGAAACTTTATGCCGGTGTGTACGTGTGTGTTTGCGCGCGCGTGTGTGTTAGTTTTAATCTTTCCTTCCTTCGGATTACGTTCTTTTCTAATCGTCAATTGGCTTAATTTTACGCGATATAGCTACATTATACAAAGTATGTACTTCAAAAATATCCGACACCACGGACCTTTTGAACCACAACATGCTCACGCATTCCATATTATTACTAAGTCATTTTAAATAGATCGTGGGTTGGGGGGGGGGCGAGTGGAA